CCGCTACAACATTCCCAACGGCCGTCAATTACAAACAGGACGATACAGGCCATACAGCCATTACTGCAATGCTGTCTTGAAATGACTAGACAGACTAGCACGTGTCAATGAAAATAACAACATTGCACTGAGACTAGCACAAACTAGCCTGCTCCTGAGTGCTTCATTCGATATTTTGTATGGATTGGTTCGCAGTCATTCTGCTTCCTGGCTGAAATGAATCAAAGATTCACCGGTTGCTGATTCATTCATACTTTTTTGCATGTTTAAATGGATATTAACTGATGTGGTGAACTTCTTGCAAATAATATTGCTGAAAACACTGTTGTCGGCAAACTAACTGACGTTTTACAAGCCATTTTTACACTTTTGTGAATAGCCCATCATATCAACTACACGTAATGCAGCCTGCAGTTATAACGCGCGTTTGTGACAAATTAAAAACAGTGGTGCCCATGATTATACCATATACATTCTTTTAACCTAAGTAAAGTGTGCTTACTGTCGTGATTCCATTAGCGCTCCTTATATGTATATCACGTATTGGTGAAAAATTGTAAGTATGCTTACTCCATGTATACATTACTTATCATACTGATGATGCCTGTAAACTGGCGTCCTTCATGTACATAAAGTGAGAATATGTATGATTATTAAACAAACTACTGAAGCATAGAAAGGTAAGTTCGGACCGTGGCATCACTCATTTATTAGTACGGGCTTTATCGATTATTTAAAAAGTCTGCTTAGAATAGGCCATACAGCCTGCAATCGGTTCAGAATCGTATTTGTAGGGAGATCCTCAAAAAATGTGAATTCGAACACGTGGACCAACCTGCTAAATGGCACCGATAGTGACGTGCTACCTCAGGTGCTACTGAGGCTAGATGCAGTTTTTTCATGTCAGCTCATGACGAAATCATGAAACTGACCAGATCCGAAAAGCCAACACTTGAATATCAGTCTGGTGTTCACTAGTGACTGGCCTTATTCAGGTGGCTGGCTACCTGAATTCCAGCGTGAATTCGTGACCGGTGGGGTACGACAGGTCGGACGCGAATACGAATACTCGCCGATAACTTTCGCTGGCAGCCATGCTATTTCATAAATCGGCCGGATTAGGAATTCACCTGCTGGCCATTAGTTCGGATCCCAGTGGCTTAATGGTCAACCAGGTGCCTTGTAGCCGCAAGGTCCTGGGTTCAAACCCTGGAAATGGGTTCATACTGATGAAAAGTCCCAAATCAGTACTACCAGGTTTTCCAATGGTTCTCTAACTGTTGCCAATTCAATGTGAAACGCTCAAACCAGTCAAATCCCGGCAAACCAACATTTGAATTTTCTTCCTGTGTTGAAACTGATGTGATAGGTATTTTGTTGGAAGGACTGTATAGAAAATAGTTGTCGTGTTAATAAGCGACACCGGGTGAGAAAACACACTCATGGCATGCACTGTTCCACTGAACCTACAAACGGTTTGAGGCAGACATTAGAAGATTTTGTCAGAAAGAGTGTGTGAAAGTGCTTTTAGACCAACCAGTGGTATTAGACGTGATTTTGTGTCTTCAGCGCAAGAGAGTTTCTATTCCTTAATCATCTGTAGTGATACAATGAACCCTCTCAGTAAACTTGATTGTGCAACGATCAATAAAACTTTATAATGAGTTGTATTGTTGGGCCTCCACACTAAATAGAACGTACTAAATAACACTGGGGTTACTCGAAGGCAGTCAGTGACCAAGTAATACAAAAGAATGACATGAGTAGACAATTAGAGGCCAGGCCTCCTTTATGATTTGTAAGGTTTCTCTTCCCTATTAGACGGTACCCAATGATGAACACTCTTTTGTGTTTAAACGGGCTTCCGCTCCTTACTTACTTACCAACGTGCCTACTAAGCAGACGATCAACAATGAGTATTGTCTTCCCACTTTCTGTGCTGAGTCAGATCAACCGCGAAAAGATTATTAGGCGACTAGACCCGTTCATAAGCCATAACTCACTTGACCTCGCTTGGTCGTTTTGCCTGATTTGTCTCACTTTATCTATTCATGAGCTTAATTCTTCATTACGACTTCTAATTAACATAGCTTTGAGTTCTAGGTGAATTCGTTGGTATCCACTAGAAAACAAGATATTCGGCTTTGGAAATAATGACCTTGGGTTATGGTTTATTCAGTTACAACACTTTTTGACTGATATGACAATAATTTTCAGAATGCCAGGTATACGAGCTCCTGTTTGTATTTAACCTACTCCATCTTCAAGTGGGTGGAGGGAACTAACACTGAAGACCCACCCGGAGGATCGCATACTGTGCTTAAGTGAGAGGTGATAAGTCACCTCCTTATTCCCAAAATCATTACATATAATGGTTGTCTGGAGGAAATACTGTGGTAAAGAAGTCGCTGTTACACTTCTTGTGAGGTCGGTCGAGAAAATGTAGAAATTTTAACCTGTCGTTAGAAAGAATACTGATGAATTTCTGGAAGCCTGGTACTCAGATAAACCAGCTATTATTAGAAATATACAATATGGATCAAAGTTACTAACTTATAAGGAATGCATCACATGGTAAAACATTTCAAATCCGAAATCAATAAAGATCTAAATTGACAACAAATCAAACTTTGTCAGGAGACACACCTATAACGTTCATGGGGAATTTAAATCTGTTCACGTCATATGAAGTCTTACGCTGAAGAAGTTAGCTGAAAGGACAACAAAGACCCTCAACGGAATCAAACAGCGCAGAGAACACAACCAAATGAATATTTAATATATACATATGTACTACGCACTACTTACGTTCCTTTAAAAATGTATATTCAGTTTACGTGAATTAATCAACTTATATCTCCAATTCAGGTGTACAGTCAGACACATTGTAAAACATGACGTCAACTTACATTTTCATTGCCCTGTCTAGCAGCTTACTCGAAATGCGACAAAACTATCTCAGTGTTCACTAGTTGCACAGATAGCCCCACTGAGATGACTGGTATCTGAAGTGTACCGCCCATGAACGTTCTGTGAAGTGAAAATGTGATTTCAAGGCATCGGGTTGTTTTCCTTGTTGGATGTGGTTGTCCACTGAACATTATAAGTCGTCGTGGTACAGCAAAAGTGAAAAATAACCGAAATCAGTGTCATCTACATCCTGTTTCGCTTAGATCAATCTTGCTGAAGTGGTATTCAGATCAATTCCTTCAACTAGTGAATGTTTACATTTGGCTTTTATGTAGACCAGGTCCCCTTCTAAACACAAGGTGGTAGTAAGTCATCAGGTAAACACGATCAACATAGAAGTCAGTGTAATTTCACTCTTCATTGTTTTAATAGTAGCGACTGATGAAGCAATACATGGAGTTCTTGAGCATCGCATAAAACACAAAACCTAAGGGGAGTTGTTAAGTTATCGTTTGAAACGATAAAAACTATATGCTTTTCAAGATCTCTGTTATCTAGAAATAATCCAATCCTTTAAAATCTTTCTTTTCACCACATCGAAAGTTTGTTACTGTGACAAGGTGTTTTTAGTCGCCATTTGCCCCAAGGTGCAAAACTCAACCATCTCGCTGTAGTTTAGTGGGGCTTCTACTTCTTCTTGGGCCACATCACCTGAAAAATTATATTTCATATTTCTAATATTGCTTTGTTTTGCAACGAAGTTAGTTTTAATGGAGCAATTGATAAAGGAGGGAAGTTGCTGCCTGCATTGGGGTTGGAAGTCATTCTGGTTGATTCTTTCAAGTATTTTCGGGAGTAAATATGCAACGATAGAAGCGCTCATTCGATTATGGCACAGAGCACCACAGTGTTTTCATTGCTGGAAATCTGCTAAACAGGCATCTTGGTGAAGAGTCAAAGCCCAATTAAACACAAAAGAGTGTTCATCATTCGATATTGTCTAATAGGGAAGAGAAAACTTACGAATAACAAAGGAGGCCTGGTCACTACTTGTTTACTCATGTCATTCTTTTTTATTACCTGATCACTGACCGAGTTAAAGTAACCCTAGTAGAAGTAATGACTGTGAGCTATGACATAAACCTATCCACCTATTGTTTGAGGTCTTCAGCTAGCAGCAAACTTGTTTCTGATTTGAAGACCAAATCGAGTTTCAAGCCTTTGAATTATTCTTCCAATTGAGGAAGCCATCTCCTAATTATGCTGATATCATAGTGCTTGGTGTTTGAGAACCTAGTATCTTAAGGTTTTCACACCGTTACCCGACTGAGCCTTTAATTAAACAATGGCTTCTTACCTATTTTTGCACTTCGCCCGATCCAATCATGGCAGATTCTCATATTTCCATCTTTGACTTCTAATGGTTGATTGGGAATGATATTTTTTGAATCATTTGCTTTCCTCACTTGGAGAGCAAGAAGCTATGTGCGATATTACTTTTCAGCTTATTCGGCTTCTTTCCACATATTATATAGGTTCACTGAGTTCCTAAGCTATTTAAGAAGCTGGTTTTGCGGCACTGGTATTTCATCCTCTCGTAGATCTTCAAGGTTTCATCCGCGACCATTAACAGCTTGTCTTGATTTCCTTATCTCTTTCATAGCCGTTGCTTTCTGGACGCCCTTGAGATGCCTTCATGTGTCTGTGCTGCATTTTCATCAGTAGCAACTTCAATTTATACTTGCTTATATTAAATTATTATGAATTTGATAACAGACGTCCAGCTCCCGATTTACCTCTACACGCCTAATTTCGGAGTTGCGCAAACACTAAGAAATAATTATGGCATGTCTGATAGGCAAGTGGTATAAGATCTTTGTAGAGAATGTGAAACGACTGGTTGCTGCCATCATACAGCATAACAGAGCCCCAGAGAAGTGAAAGTCCAGTAGTCCATAGTAAGCTTTACTGGTCAAAAAGAAATCAGTTAGCTAAAACACCTAAGTAATATATCCAGCACACATTTATGCTAAAGAATAATACAAAATGATTCCCAAACTAAATCTTATTGTTAGTACCAATCACTGAAGGTGAATTTCTAGGGTGGTCAATGCGCGCTTAAAACGAAGATTGTCATTTGTTTCGGAGGTCTTTAATAATGACGTCGTTTTTCGAGTCAGTTTGTGATGCTGCGCCGATAGAAGTATACGCATTAACTGAAGCATGTAATGAAGACAAAGATCCTAATAAAGTCAATCTTGGTGTTGGTGGTAAGTATTGCTGATTGATAAGAAATTACGATATAAGCTTATCGCACGAATGAAGGCATACCGTGGGTTTTGCCAGTTGTACGAACAGTTGAATCCACAATGGCGGCGGATCACAGTCTCAATAAAGAATATCTCCCAGTAGCCGGTTTAGATAGCCTGTGTAAAGCAGCATCAAAACTTATTCTCGGTGATACAAGTGAACTCCTCTCTTCTAAAAAAGTGTGTTTTCCGTTTGCTAATTATGAACTTCGTAGGCTGATAGCTGTCAAACTTTAGGAGGGACAGGAGCAGTCTACCTGGCTCTACAGTTTTTGTTTAACATTTCCAAATGCACTTCTGTCTATATATCCAATCCTTCGTGGCGTATGTAAAATTATACAATCACTCACTTTCTAGCTAACCATGCGGGTATTTCACGTCTTGTGGGCTTGAAAATAAATGAATATCGTTATTGGGATTCTTCGTCGAGAGGGGTCAACTTTTCAAACATGCTAGAAGACTTGACTAAAGCACCTGAGAAGGCAATCGTCATTCTTCATGCATGTGCACACAACCCAACAGGAACCGATCTGTCCCGCGAACAATGGAAGGAACTAGCAGAACTCATTAAGGTTAGCTATTTCGATTGATGTCATACTATTAATTAATTTATATTCACATTCACAGTAGGTTGTTGTAAGGTATCTGAGTAATAATTTTGAAATACTACTATTCCACAAGCACTAATCGTAAAACTGTTGTGCAAAGTGTTGCACTTTAGTGTATATATTTATTCAGAATAAATTAGTTTCTGAGGAATGTTAGATAGAAATAGAGTAAAAAGACCACAACACACGTGTATAAAAGTGTGCGAATCAATAATTATTAAGTTAAACGAAATATCTCTCTGTCTCATCTTATAGAACACAATTTTTGTGTTATGATGCAGTTGTACTAAGTGACTGCTGGTAATTATGGAGTTAAAGACTGAAAACGTAGGTTTCCTCACTGTCACAGACAGCCGCCCAACAACTTTATGGTGGTTTAAAGACGTGAAATTGCTTGATTTTGCCAAGTTGCAAGGTAAATTTCTTGATGGTTACAACATTTCCCTTCGTTTTACATGTACCAAGTGTGACAAATGGGGTGAAGGAATACGCGCCGTATTTTATTGAAAAGTACTGAAATGTTTTCACAAAATGTTTAATATTATGAGAAAATATATCACATTTTGAAGTTGATCAACAAGATATCCAGAGAACGCATCTACAGACAAATAGTGAATAGCCGTAAATACTTGGAAATACAAAACTGAGTGATTTTGACTGTATATCCAGCTACCTTTATAGTACCTTCACACACATGCTCTTTTTTAGTCATACTATGTAATTTTTTATCCTTTATTCTGTTGACTCTACACAAGGAAAGCCAGAGCAACTTGGCTTTTGTAATAGTTTTCATTTAATGCCTATGCCTAACTATGTACTCTAATTTATTAGTAGACAAAATCGCCAGGTAAACTCTTGGTCACAATTAAGAAATAACCCAATTATTTAGAATCAAAGGACTTTAGGCTATAGAAAATACAGATAATAAAGTTGCCGAAGATTTAGCTGGTACAATCTTATAAAGCGAAGACTCACAGTTGCCATTGAAGTGAATTTTATCGTAAGACAGTCAGCAAAACTATAGAAAGACATAGTGTTTGGAGGAGAAAACGAAAAATCCAGCGTTTTCGACTACCGCATATTCTCTTCCTCAAGTGCCATTTTGTTTCAGAGTGGGCGAGATGAACTTTCAGATACTGAGTCTCGCATTTGAGTCTCACTTCACCTTCTCTAGCACGAATCACTCATTTCAAGTTAGAAGTGTCTCTTAAAAAAGCAGTCATTTTGGAAATGCATCAAATGAGTTCAGTGGGACTCGGTTGAATATCAGATCACTGAGTTAGTTTCCATGCAAAAATTGAATTGTGCTGAGTAGTTACCACGCTGCAGTCATGCAGGTGCCACATCCTTTTTGGGTTTTTTATCACTTTTGCAGTTTATATCCAATATTTTCGGCACGTTGTTTAATTAGCGCTAATTGTTTTCATGCCTCACTAATGATCACGTAACAAGTTCTCAATTAATTTACCTACATTCTTTCCAACTGTGTGTTATTTTAGAAGAAACATTTATTTCCTGTCTTCGATATGGCTTATCAAGGATTCGCTAGCGGAGATCTTGATAACGATGCCTGGGCTGTGCGTCATTTTGCATCAATGAACATGGAATTGTTTGTGGCTCAATCGTTTTCAAAGAATTTTGGACTATATAGTAAGTCTCACTGTCCTGATATACCTTTCAATTACTCACTTCGAGGCGAAAAGCATACACAGTTCCCTAAGTGTTGTTAAATCTGTTTTATAATTGGCTCCCTTGTAAACTCCTCTTGATGATGGTTTTGCGTAGATAAAGTATATGCAGCGTGCCTAGTGAAACCACTGTGGTGTAAACAAACTCTTATACATACACTTGGTAAGAAGTAGTTATATGCCTTCTTCAGATAAACAATTAAGGCTTTAATGTTGGTCTAGCGTTAGTATCATTTTAGTCCATATAACTTTTCACATTACTATTATTATTACTATCAGTAACAGTATGAAGTGAACAATCCCAACCCTTAATATCGGTGGCTGACACATCACAATAATTGGTTCATTTTTCCCTGATATGCACAAGCATTGTTATCATACTAAAACTTGAAAGAGATCTAGCTTGAAGTCTACTTCTTCGCTTATGTGTCCTGCATCACTTTTCGTAGTAAAGACATTGAATATGAATATCTTTCTATACTATCGACAGTAGATTTTTTATTGTTCAGCAATTCTTCAATGTATTAGCTTTAAATTCTCTCTCTTCCAGTATTATTATTTTTGTTCCCTTGGGTTCCTAGTGGAACATAGGGCTTCAACTGCACGTTTCCACTTGCTTCTGTCTTCTGCTGTACTTTTCACCTGCATCCATGTTAGTCCATACTGTTTCAACTCCTCTTCACACGATCTCCTCCATGTCACCCCTGGACGTCCCACTCGCCGCTTCCCTTTCGGGTTCCACTCGAGGGCCTGACGCGCGATGTCACCCAACGGCCTTCTCAGCGAGTGTCCAATCCATCTCCACTTTCCCCTGCATATTTGTTGGGCGATTGGTTCCTGTTTTGTTTCTTCCCATAGCTTCTTGTTTGTGATTCTTTCCAGCCATCTAGTCTTCAGTATAGAACGAAGAGTTGTTGATAAAGGTCTGCAACAGGCTGTTGGAAATATTCTTTGTGACCCACCACGTTTCTGATCCGTATAGAAGAACTGACTTGACGTTTGTATTGAAAATCCGAATTTTTTTGTTGATGCTGAGTGAAGAAGATTTCCAGATTGGTTTCAGGTTGATGAATGTGTTTCTCGCCTTCCCGATACTCGATTTGACATCCTCGTTCGTTCCTCCTGTAGTTGAGACAATGCTCCCTAGATAAGTGAAAGAAGTAACCTCTTTCAAATCCCTCCCGTTGATGGTGATTGGCGCTGGATGTTGCTGCTGTTGTTGTTGTTGTTGTTGTTGTTGGTTGGTTATGTTCATAACCTCCGTCTTGTCTTTGTTCACCTGGAGTCCTGTCTTTGCTGCTTCTTCGACCAGTTTGTCGGTTTTTGCTTGTAAGTCTTCGATTTTGTGTGACATCAAACATAAATCATCTGCGAAATCCAGGTCTTCTAGATTCTTCACGTTGGTCCAGGATATCCCTGTCTTCTGGTTTCCCACTGTCTGACGCATAATCCAGTCCACCACAATTAGGAATATCATGCAGTGGGAACCAATCTCCTCCAGGATAATGACAGCCAGGTTCAACTCAAAAGAGAAAAAGGTTACAATCATTCAATGCTACGCGCCTACAAACGTCTCAGAAAAAGAGAAGAAGGAGGATTTCTACAGTCAACTACAAACAGTAATGGACAACGTCCCAAAGAGCAAATTTAATGAAAACTTTAGAAATGATAAAGAGCAAATACATTTGTGGTATATCTAACTGCTGATTGGTGAGCGTAAATTTCTGTACCACTGTTGTCTCACCTGACAAAGGTCATGTGTTCTGCTCAGTAATTGAATTTAATTGACGTAGATTCAAGAATACAACTCAAACAATGCAGTTGTGAAGCTTTATCCATTAGTGCATGTATTTCGCATGCTGAGTCGGTCTCTTCATTGGCAAACCAAAGTAAACACACTTTGGAAAACAGGTAAAATAGATAAGACAAAAATAAGGTAACAGTTCATTGAGCTGTTGACTGTTGAACTGAGTCAGATAAGTTGTTTGATTATGGGTCTTTAAAATAGTAAGAATCAGTGGTTGGCGACTATTTGTGACATCGTCGTTCACAATAAGGTATATGTATTCAATGGTAACTTTCACCTCAATTCTTCCAGAATACGTACATTAGCGTTCTGAAAAAATAATAGCATTTCTTTACCTACAGGTGATAGTTAACCTTATTAATTTTTTATTGATGGTTCTAGCTTCAAAAGAGATGTTGAAAATTAGGTTTCCTCAGGCTCATGCATTTGATATTAGGTCTGTTTATGAGTCTGCTGATAACCAATTGTACACCTGGATTAAATAATGAGATGACATGAATATCCTGAAAGGTTAGACATCTGAAACTGGTTATCTGAAGGGATGTTAGTATTGAAAAGGTACGGTAGTAAAAATGATATTGTTATAGTCGCTAAAAGTTCACTCTCATTCATTTTGTTTTCAAATAAGTGGTGATATCTCAGACCAGAAATTTCCCACCTGTTAATTTCATTCACATTGATAAATATCCGTCTCAAGTGGTTCATTGGATTAAGTACTTAGCACATAGCCAGATTCACAAACTCAAGCTTAGTTAACAGGGCTGGCTGATCGGTTCCTACGCTAAGAGTGCGTCTCATAGTCTGCTACATTTAAAAAGATACTTTCCAGGTAACTGATTCAGCCTAACTGAATTCAACCATAACTATATTTAAAAATTCACTTGTACTTCCAAAATCGAATATACCATTAGAACTGAAGGATAAACATTCATTCGCCTTTCTAACATTGTACTGCAAGACTTAAAACTGAAGTGTTCTCAACAATTTTCAATACCAACCGATTATTCTCATTGCTGAATTCAAGTGTGATCACCAACTGATTTCAGTTAGAGAACTGTTGAAAACCAGCGAGTATTTGACAGCTGCTTCTAGCCAGTCAAGAACCCTTCAGCATTATCCACGCATGACTGCGTCAAGGATACAACCTACTCATAGGTTTTATTTATGTTTATCGAGCCTAATAGTGTGTGTATATAAATAGAATCCGTGGAATGCATGCATGTTAATTGAGTATGCTTAAAATATATGTATAAAGGAAAGGATTAATTGATTTCAATAAAATTAACAGATATAACAATCCATTATTAAGACAATAAAATAAATTAGGTCATACAGTTAATCAGTTTCGGTAGAATATAGATTTAAAAGAAAAATAATAAATCACGCTAATTAAAATTAAAAATTAAAATTTACTTCAATAAAAACATTTCATTAGTTCAACTCGTATTTTTAAAAAGAACTACCTGATAAATATGCTCCTCAGCAAAAGAAAAAACCCACATAGTCCATTGGAAAGACTGTTTTTGGCCATTTTTATTTACTATAGCTGTATAATTGTAGACATATATATATATATACCGCTTTTCTTATTATTGTCTCCTAGTCCTCCTATTTAAAATACCCTATAATCTAGTAGAATAAATGCAAAATTTAATACAGATGGGTACTTATTGATCGTAAATGAAGCATGGTTTGATCACTCGCCACTCATGGTCGACGCATATGTGTGACTCTTGATGCCATAAAGGAACAGTTAGATCTTCTAAGAAACGTTTTGATAGAAAATGGGTGTCTACCACATGTCATAAACCAAAATCTTATTAAAAGGGACTTGTCATCTGTACCCAAGACAAGTGCAGTGTTTTGAGCCTCGAATTCAAATGTGACCTAGTTGCCGACATTCTTAAATAAAGGATCTCACAATCCCTGAGAACAATATTCGTTGCAATATAGTTAAAAGTAGTGTTTTCGAATTGACCATTACTTTTGATAACCTAATGGGCCAGAATCTGCAGCTGATCGACTATGTGTGTGTGTGTATGTCTACCGCTTCACCTGCTTCTGTGTAGCTAAACTCCATAGGTTGTCCGAGTGGTATTTTTTCCAAAATGATACAATGAAATCGACAAGAATTAGTTTGAGCCAGCCACGTAGGAAGGTGTAGACTTCCTGACTGGTTAAGGTTCTCGGGACGGTAAAAACCAATGAAGGCTAAGGACAGTCAGTGATATCACTCAAAATCGTTCTCAATGTCTGGCGCAGATGCATCCACTCCTTGTGACTTATAATACCCAATGAAATTACATTGTTTCTCGTTATTACTATTCCTTTTGTCTCACATCCCTGTTTATTGTCTCTATTTTGCATTTCTTCTCTTACTTTGTGTGCTACATAGAGGGAGAGTGGCGAATTGAGCTGCTGCACATCGATGCGAAGTCCTATGTTGAAAACAGTCAAACAAGTGCAGTACCCTACATGGTCGCAAAAGGGTAGAAGTAGAGCTATAAAAAGTGTAATAACTGATACGTTTGGTTGAATCTGATTATCTTATCTCTAAAATCTCTTATTTTTAAGTTATCCATAAGCCAAAAGTTACCTGTCTAAATCAATACATAGCTGTGTCTAATTTGTATTGCTGAGGATTAAGCTGTCAAAACAGAGAAACAGCTATATCTTTATCTACAGAAAAAGGTTGTTTAATCACTCCTTCCCTTCTGGTCTTAATCCGATTAGTGTTGAATTATGAACATGATAAATAATGGCGAAAAGTTTCCACTTCTTACGTAATATCACTTCTTTCCTCTTCCTATACTCCTTTTAACAATTTTTTTAGAATTTCACTGTTATCTGACTTAAAAGAGGAAGAAAACTCGAAGGAGAGATTATCTAAAATAGTTTTAGATGTGCATACTAGTGTTGTTATGTTATGGGTGGTGGTTAAAGATGAAATTAAGATCTGGGTCAATGCAGGATTCAAACCCCAGTAAACTCCCAAAAATACTAGTCCCGTAATGTGCCAGTTGAGCTACTAGACACCCCAGTTGTTAACCAGTTCATTATTTTACTGTGACGATCATCAGGTGTAATACTCAGCTTTGTCACGTGAATGAACAGTAAGTTACCTCCATATACCAACTACTTAGCTAGGTTTTCTC